ATAACAAAATAACGCTGAAAACCGATAAAAACCCTGAAAACCATACATTTCACACCTGAGCCTCAACTCTCGCGGCCCGGTACCAAACAACTCACAGACCGGTACCGGTCCGAGGCCCAGGGGTTGGGGACCGCTGCTGTACAGTACACAGCAGTTAGTAGCAATCAGGTACAATTGTTGTTGAAACCAGCTGTTGTTTTATAACAAGGTAAGTTCTTAAAAAAGTTAACTCAACACTGATTTTTTTTAGTCATGTTCAAATGCAAATTAGACACTTTAATTACTTTGGATATTTATATTATACAACAAATTATTCTTTAGTTACTGTTGGAGTGATGAGATTTCTTTCTGCACCACTAAAAAAGCAGCTAGGAGAAAGACAGGAAAACGGACAAATGTGAACAAGAAAGGCTTTCATAAATACGAAGAACGCACTGCCCATAGTTACAGAGTTCAGAGAGAATGCACCCAGATCTGCACGTCTCAACACACACACACACACACACAAACACACACACACACACACACACGGCTCCATGCAGTCTTTTGATGGTTGTGATAGTAATACACCAACCATTAAGTGGTGGACAACATCCTTTGTAGTTTTTTTTCTTGTGGCTTTCAATGTAATGACCTCACACATCCTCACTCAGCATTAGTGGTGTTTCTATGGTAATATTAGTAATCATGCAAATTCATGCAATACAGATTCATACCTAAATAAGAGCTTTGACAGTTGTGAAAATACGCGTGCGTGTCTGTGTGTTTGTTTGTTTGATCAAAGAAACCATTCAGCAGTGCATTTCCATAGTAATTTGATCCTCTGTGACAGTGGTCTGTGGTTGATGCTCGCAGAATTAATATAGTACAGCGTCTCCTGTTCATTTTTATCTAAAAATATAGACTCTGCTTTTAGAGATGTTATACAGAATATTAACTCTATAGCTGTTTAGAGGACACCATGATTATGTTTATAAATACCCTCATTTGCCTCAAATTAGAATATATGGGACATTACTGAACTAATATTTACACCTTGTTCTTAAAAGCCGTCAGCACAGGAGTGGATTTTTATTTCACTTCAGTGTTTTAACCTGAGTTGTCTCACATCCATGACATCATTTGTAGCTGAACTTGTGAAACACTAGATTATAACAGATTTTTCTAGCTTGTTACAGGTTTAATACTAAAACCAACTTGCTTCTTTGGTGACCAGGATCAAATACAGTATCATATAACATTTTTTGTTTGTTTGTTAATGTCTCTTGAAGGTCGTGGATGCCATCCTGCCTCCTCTGACAACAATGGCTTTCAGCAAAAATGGTATGAATGGTGGGGTCAGTTTTTTGAGGAAAGAGAGTGTGAAGGAGAGAAGATGAAGGAAGAATTGTTAATGTCAGAGTGAGAGAGAAAGAAATGGCAAATGGGGAAAGAGGCAGAGTGGGTTCAGAAGCCTGATGGCTGGGGACCTTTAGTTCCTGTCACAGGCAGTGATTTTCTTCTTGTTTCCTGTTTGTTAGGGTTCTAATAATTCTCCAAAGAGATGAGATCACGAAGAAAAAGTTCACTACTTACCTAAACAATCTGAAAATATTACAGCATTTAACAAACTAGCATACTGCCAGCTCCCTTGCGATACAGGTAGATAAAACTGCAATACAGCATTGCTTATGTTTGTACCACAACTGAGCGAAATGCCAAAAAGTAATCTTTAAAAAAATATAGGTATCTGCATTTATTAATTACCATATCACCAATACAATAATAACAGCTTCTTTTGGGTTTTGGAACCTGATTGAGTTATTACAGTTTTGACTTTATGGTCAGTATGCAAAAGAGCCAGCTGTCAGGGTAAAAGGTTTTTTGTTAGCCATTATAATGGTGCTACTTGTTGTCTTGTTGAAGCTCAAAATATTTCGTCCCCATGTGGGTCTTTTGTTGTTTTTCCAAGCTTGTTGGTACTCTTATATATAGTACATATGTGTGCTGTCTAATGTTTCTTATAGTGTCGTGTGAAAAACAACAACAACTGACTCAAAGGCTTGTAGAACCACCTTTAGCAGCACTAACTTGCAGCAATCGTTTTCTGTATGACTTTTTCATTCTCTGCCATTCTTATGGAGGAATAAGGTTGAGGTCTGGACTTTGACTGAGCCACTTCAACTCTTTTTCAGCCACTGTTGTATATTTGCTGCTGTGCTTGAGATCGTTGTCCTGTTGCATAACGTAGTTTCAGCCAAACTTCATCTATCAGACACACGGCCTTCCATTTGACTTAATAATTTGGTATGATAAAATACTTTAGTATAAGGAGGAGTTCGTGGTTGACCCAATGATTGCAGGGTGCCAAAGTCCTATTGCTGCAAAACTGAGACCTGTAGAGTCAGAGATTTAGGTCTTAGATTTTTCCTTAGACTATGTTCATTCTTTAATCCTTAATCTAAAGTTTTGTGACATCCTAAAGTTTCAAATGCCATTCATCAAATTCATTCAGAATTATTTATGCATATTATTGTCACCTCAGAACCCATTGTCCCCTTTCATTTATGGAAGTAAATCATATGACATATACTTGTCCAACTAACACTAACTACCCCGACCCCCAACACACACTAATCTAATCTAATTGACATAATACTTTCCCTAGCTGCTTACCCTAACCATCAAAAATGAACCCTTAGCCTACACCTAACCATAACATAATTGTAACACTAAAACCACATTTTGAGTTTCAAAAATGCCTTCAAACTTGTGGAGACTTGGATTTTGTCCCAATAAGGGCTGTTGGTCTCCACAAGTATAGTAAACTTGCAATTATTGGTCCCCACAAAGATATGTAAACATGGTATACACACACACACACACACACACACACACAGTATTCTAAACACTTAGTCCTAATAATACTCTCTCTTCCTGTGTTTGTGTGGTGCAGTGGAGTGGTCTGTGTTTGTTTTGAGGGTGTTGTCTGAACTCAGTCTAATCCTGCTGGTCCAAGATGGTGTTGATACTGAGGTAAAAGAGGAAAGGACAGAGGAAAATAAAGAGAGAAATGAGAAGGAAGGAAAGGCGGCAGAGGAAAGAGGGGCTGGACTCTTGTGTATCACTGAATCTCTCCTTTCAAGGTTGGTCTGGTTTATTCTAAGTGCAGCTTCAGTGTTTCTAGATTCCTTCTGTATTTGCTGTCTGAACAGATACTTTCCCCTTGGATGACATTTTTAAAATCACTACAGCTTAACCAAAATAATGACAGACTGCCAGTTTAAATGATAGATATAATAATATGTAATATACAATACTAAAGTAATGTCTACCTACTCTTTTGTGCTAAGGTGTTTATGTTCACATTAAAGCAAAATTTCCCTTGACTATTTTACAACCAAGACAATAAGTCTGACCTAATCCTTACCCGACACAAGTAATTTACATAAACATAATATTATAATCAAAAGAGCTTCATTAGTGATGGTGCCAGGTTAAAGACAGCTCAGTTGCAACAGATGATTTCAGAGTTGATCTCTGACTGAAGTATAGAAGTCTAACAATAAAGAATTGTTGTAATAGGGTTTCTTTTGAAGATGTATATCAGATATAAATGATATGGTATGGATTTGTTGATATCAAACCTCTTTATAATATGTTGTAGTTTGTGAAATGCTTCTACAAATACAGAAAACTGGCAAGTGACTGTTCAATCTATGAAAAGGGGACAATGCATTTTACACAAGTCAAAGAATAGCTACACAGTACAAAAAAGATGCTTGTATGATAGCCTCACAGGTTACCGCTTGTTCACTTTTATTTCTACCAATATTTCTCCTCCTCAAAGTCAGTCCTTTCTTCCTCCCAGTTTCTCCCCTAGCTGCTTCTCTCTACGTTCTTTTCTCTGCTTCTCCTATTATAAGTCTAGTTCTCCCCTCCCCCTCTTCTTCACCCCTCTCTCCAGATCTGTTCTAGTTTACTCTCTCTTACTAATGATCAGAACACTGCATTAATTATTAACACTTCGAAAGCCAAATGTTGTACTCAGACATGTTTATGTCTAGGTACGAGACTCTTCTACGAGCACCGGAGCCTATACCCCTCCATGCACTCAAACTGTTGGTATCAATGACTGAACACAACAGTCAGACCTGCAGGTAATGTGAACACATCAGCCACACACACAATTAATCACAGACAAGAAAGACTGTTGAAGCATTGTGACCTTGCTAATATGAACTTTACTTGTAATCTTTATTAGGATAATGTTGTTTATGGGTAATATAGTAAAGAAAGTATTACAAAATACTCCTAGCATCCATTAAAATCCATTATCTGCTTCTCTATTTTTTTTTCCAAGACGCAGAATAGGTAGCACGCAAGTATTTTGCAGTCCTAGCAGGTTCAGATACAAATATACACGGG